CATTCAGGAACCGGTATCGAAGTCAAGGTATCGGTATCGATATCGAAAAATTTTTAACGATACCCAGCCCTAGTATGGTGAGGGGCGTAACATTTCCGTCTCACGCTTGAGGTATTCGGCCAATCACAACTCACTGGATAGCTGGCCAATCACAGCACACCTTGCTTTTCAGACCGATGAGCTTTGTAAAAATCGACGCGTTTCAGAAAGGCGGGGCATAGAGGAGAAACAATAATGTACAGTATGTGGAAAATAATGTGTTTTTTTTAACCTTAAACCGCATAAACACATTTCATTACACCAAATACACAAAATAATGTTCTTTTTAGAAACATCATATGACCCCTTTAAGAAACTCCTGCTCTAAATGTATACATACGTAGCATAGTGCAGCATTTTCCTCCTATGAAACATTAGGATCCACCTCAGTTCCTAAAATCCTGAATTCTAATAACAGAACTGCTAATGAAATGTCACAATAGCCTCTTTGACCTTTCCATGTTCAGAAACACTAGACATTAGAGCAAACATGCCCTTTAGTGCTGCTATGAAACTACCATTCCTTGTTTAACATTAAGATTTTGATGGAGGAATCCCGGAAATTATTTCACTAGGGCTGCATCTGAAATTACACACTCTTTGAGTAGGTACTTTTTTTGAATATGACCGATAAAAAGTATGTTCTATATAATATGAATGTGTGCGGTATGAATTTAATCTGGATGCACTGCATTTGTCAGGTTGTTGTTGTCATGTGACCTACCAGCATTAGTTGCATCGCTTCTCTGTTATCTTCCCCCATGGCCCCATGGGATAGTAAAGTGTCCATTAGATGCACACTTCAGAATATCGCCGGAAACAGTAGGTCATTTGGGAACTTTTTGCCTGCAGTTTTAATTCAGACACACTACTCTTTTCACATACTGTTTTTCCTGCTATATACAGTAGTAAGGAAGTATGTGATTTCGGATGCAACCCACCTTTCCATCTTACTGGAACAGGAAGTGAAGCTGAATGTACTATCAGGAGCGTCTCTCTTTCTCTTTTCCAAAGGGAGTGTGCTGTTCCTGGAAGCCCCCTTTCAGTGAGGGCAGACAGAGTCAGCGACATGTCCATCATAACGCATCAGCCTCGATTCCCAGTATCCCAGCATCCCCTGTGCTCTCATTCATTCTCTCACTGTCTGCCAGCGAGCTACACTTGCTCAAACACTGTGTTTTTCCCCCTGAAACGTACCGTTTTATATGTGTACTTATATAGCCGGCATGTGAATATTATGTGGCCGTAAAAAGCAGCTGAAATGCAGCATGACATTATTTACACCAATAAAATGCTGCAACGCGTCTGATTAAACTCGTAGATCAGGTTCGGTTCTCTCTATTCATACTGGTTTTCTACTCTCTTTGCACTCATTAATTAGCATATTAGCAAAGCTTCAACAATAAAGGCTCGTTCTCCGCAACAACAGCCGTTTAGCGACAGGGCTCTTGTTCCATTACAAAAGAATAATAGATTCACAAGGACACATTTCCTCCAACATACTCAAGATTCATGCCCCAGGAATGTATCTGCCCATGAGAAACCCAGACAACAGACATCTGGTGCCATAGACATCCCAAGGCGTACCTTATCAGCCGTACGCAAACGGTAAAGCACTGCTAAATCCCTCTTCGTCTGTTGAGAATCTAGTTTGTGACTTGCTTCGAATTTCTGAAAATCAGTTTTTCATATTCTGTCATTAAATTCCTGACAGATACACATTGTTATTCAAAGCATAGGTTGTTATATTTTGTTTTTTGGATACTGGTATGTTGGTGTCCCTACCAAGCTTCTCAAATAGCTTCACCAACAATCTCCCAGTATGTGAAAACCAAGGTTTGACCAGCATTGTTGTTGGTGAACAGCATGGCTATACTGTTTCACAAGTTACACCAGCATCTAACCAGCTTGTAAGTTCATGCTGGTCTAAACTGGATTCAGCAGGGTCGGCAATAAAGAATACTACTTTTAATGGATTTAATATATTTAATGTTCCCATTGACATGTTAAATTAAGTAATTTTGGCTCAAATCGGCATGAATATTGTAGAATATTGCCAGCTGTGACATTATATGGTGATATATACACAGTTATATATTTCAGTGCATTATAAGGAGATGTACCCAATATATAACTCACTCTCGAATATGTATTGAGGGTTACAGTATGGATATTATTCTTGCTTTCATCCTCACAATCTACATTCTGACATTTGCATGTTCTCCTTCATCCATAACCATATTTATCAGTTGTGGATGGAAAATGTGAGCTTGCATAAAAATTGAGCCACTAAAATATCTGTCTGAACTACTATTAGTTATATATTTTGTTTGTTAATCTATTCCTACTCCTGCTTCAAGAATTGGGATTTAGGTGGTGCAGCATTTTGTAACATTATGTGTAACATTATGTGAGTCTGATATACAGCAGGTTATGTAATTCTAGGGCATTTGCAGATGAGTTGGACCACAGAGAAAGACGCTGAATTTGTGTATGTTGTGGTTGTTGCTCAGCATTATGGAAACAGTATGTTTTTGCTAGGATAGGTGGTGTGTAGTTTACCATGGCTTAAAATAATGAATGCAGAATCACCAAAGCCACCATATCTTACTTGCATGTTTGCATTAAGTATTATTTCTTTTCTGTGTGTGTGGTGGCAGAAACAGCTGAAGTGTCTGGAGTGATGGACAGAGTAAAGCGCTTTTATGAAATTGAACATATTAATTCAAAGTCAAGGAGATTAAGTTGAGCAGAAAAGCTTTGCTTAACTAGAAAAGGTGCTGTGATTGTCAGTAGTAGAAAGTAAGACTTTGGATAAGAGGCTATCCATCTTGACCATACTCATGGTGCTCCTCGTAATAAGTCTTTACGGCTTGATGTGGTCAGGAACTTAATAAAATAGGATTATCTGAAGCCTACGTTTTGGAGACAAAGGTGCGAGTCAAAGCATGTGTTAACCTTGGTTATATTTTTCTCCTAAACGCAGCCCATTCTGTCAACATCTGCCTTCCCCCTCCCCACAGAACATCATTTATGTGCATTTGGATTCTGTCATACTCTAATTCATCACTCAGTGGTTCTACTTAGCAGACCTTGACAAGCGTTTTAAAATCCCCCCACGTTTAAATAAAGACATGCATTTATACAAAGCAGAGCAACCTTGAGTTAGTGAGGAGCATTATCCCTTGTCCATAAAGACATCCTATTCAAACTACTTTTTTTCCACACTTTTGTGTTTTAGATTGAAGTACATTGAAGCTGCATGTTCTGGGTGGATTCCAGGAGGATGAAAGTGACAGACAGAGAGAGCGAGAGAGAAGAGGATGTGTAACCGCATTACCCTTTTTTGTACTTACACTTTTTTATTATTATTATATTTCAAGTATGTTTTCAAACAGTGCCATCAAATGGCCATTTCATCAGCATACTTGCACTTACATGAAGGCGGCTATAATACCATAACAAATGTAAAATCATAATGATATTCACTTTAGTTGACGCTTGTACACATGTGACTAACACAACATTAATTGAGGGATGCAATTATACAGTTTGAGCCAGTTAGATTAATATTCGTGGTGGTTTACTGAAGGCAGTTAGATGTATTTGGTCATACAACACCCATAAACCGACTCAGCTGATAGCTTATGTAGTCAGACCGCGCCATCTGCTGTTTTGTAAAGAAATTGTTCAACTTTATCCATGATACAATAGTTTGTTTGACGTTCACAAAGCTTAAATAAAACACTATAAACAAATGACAAAACTCTCTCTTCCTCGGGTTTTCATAATAATGTTGGGGAGTTATGTCTAAGTCTGGAACCTGGATTTGTTGAAATAAATGGTTGCGTAGGTTACACTGTCTGATGTAACTGTTGTCTGTGGAAAGACAAGACAAATTAACAGCAATAAATAAACTATTTTGGGGTAAAATGACAATCACATTTGGCAGCACAATAAATTAACACCAATACTTAAATAAAAAAATAGTAATACACTATTTTTGGACTGTAACAGATGTATACTATTAACAAACATCTGCACTCACCTCATCTCTTTTATTTATGTTTGTTTTTCCTGCAGAAAAAATGGTATTTAAGAGAGGATGTTCAGATGAGATGATGTTTCACAATTCCTGAAGGAAAAAGGTCTTACCATATCTGTTTCGTCTTATATTACGGTATATTTCAGGACTGTTTTCTCTGTTTTCCAGTGTGCTGCTGCGGTCTACTGGAAGAAGAAGAAAGCTAGACCTTCAAAAAAATGTTGGAACTTGTGAGCACAGAAGTCACCAGTATGATGCTAGGGTTTTGTGCAATTTTCAATATATGTGTGTTTAGTGATTTCAATAAAATAAAAATATCTTGCAGCTAATTGATATATGAAACTAAATATATTTATCTGATTTGAATACCTCTGTCATTCCTCATTTGGCTAATATTGATGTAGACTGGTTCAGACTCCTGAGGGTCAGAGTGCACTGAAATGATTGCAATAGCAAGAGCAAGTAAAATCATGTGCACTCTGAAAGATTATTTAAAGAAAAAAGAGACTATTTTGAAAAGATGAATAACTGATAGTATTTTTGTACCTGACATTCGTTTCCTGTAACAGTAACACAAGAGAGCTCCAAGCAGAATCCCTGTAAACAGAGCCAAAACACAGGATGCTGTAGCCTTTGCGTGTTTGTTGATTGCTGAAAGAAAATAGAGACTTTATTAGTAAGTTCAAACTTAATTTGTTGATTTTTTTTGTACCTGGAACGTAAAGATAAGCATTTTCATGTACACTATGAGCCTATCATTTGTATTAAGGTTAAATGTACTGTATATTAATAGTTATAAATATAATGTAAATAAATCTTATTCTGAGTTAAGGAGAAAATACTGTATATTAATGGTTCAAAGATAATACCTTGGTTTGTTACAGTTGAAGTTTCTGTTGACATACTTGGAGCATTTGTAGTTGTTGAGGTAAGACTGATAGTTATTGGGGCCAGAGCTCTGAGTGTATTCTCAGTAAAAACTGCACACTGCCAGTTCATCGGGTCTGTTTCATAGCTGGATAGATTCACTGTGAGTTGTAACTTTTTGTTTTTCTCAGTCATAATTTGCTGTTTGACCAAAACTCCTCTGTTCCCCTCCATCCTGAGCCAGACCAGCATCACTGAACCAGTTACTTCAGAAAGCTCACAGGTAAGAACCACTGACTGATTCCTCAACACACCATCAGGGGGCTCCACTGAGACTGAAATCAACAACAACATGGACGAATTTTTAAATGCACTGAACACATTTACAAAACAAGTTATTCTTTAGGTGTCTGATCAAATGTACCGTAAATGAAAAATCAATGTATTTATTACGGATTGATTGATTGATTGATTGATTCAATCATTCATTGACTGATTCATTCATTGACTTTTTGCAAACCTCTGATGGTGTGTAGTATTATTGTTGTGTAGATGCCAGTATCTGTAATACACCTATACGTCCCTCTGTAGTTGAAGTTCACAGGTGAGATGTGAAAGATTAAAGCTTGACTGTTGTATGTGGCTGAAGAGCATCTCCCTGGTTTAATTGGTCCTTTTAACTGAACTTGTCTTTCTTTTTCAAAGGCTATCAGGTCAATCTGTGAATTAGGCCTCGGCTCCCAGGTCCACTTCAAGCTGTCATATTTCCTGCTAGATTTGCAGATGAGTAATACATCACTATTACTGGAGCTTTGTCTATAAATGGTATGATTTTTATTCTTTCCATTGTGTGAATCTGGAAAGACAAAAGGTAACCTGGTGAATTTCAGTAAATACATCTCAGAACATTCATTTCTAAACATATTTGTGAAAATGCACAGTCCTAGGCATCAAGCCTTTTTTTTATTTAATACAGCACAAAAATACCATAAAAGAATATGCTTATGTGAAGTGATGTGTGTGAATCCTAACAGTTTCTACTCTTCCATCTTCCATCAATTTACAGTAATATGTCTCTTCACTGCGTTCATCAACAGTGTGTAAGATGATGTAGGCAGAGTTGTTGTACATTAGTGTGGCGTTGGATATTTGTTCTCCGTCTTTCTCCCAGTGCAATGTGGAGGATTCATTCAGGAGAGGGAAGTCACATCGCAAAGATACATCAGATCCACGCAGAACTTTAGAAAAGTTCAATTAAATCAGAGTGAACAAATATTTAGTTGAGTTTCTCTATTACAAAAATTGATGAAAGATTATAATTATTATTTAGCGATAGGGTTAATCAATTACATCAGTCACAAACGGGGCCAGAGCTCTGAGTGTATTCTCAGTAAAAACTGCACACTGCCAGTTCATCGGGTCTGTTTCATAGCTGGATAGATTCACTGTGAGTTGTAACTTTTTGTTTTTCTCAGTCATAATTTGCTGTTTGACCAGAACTCCTCTGTTCCCCTCCATCCTGAGCCAGACCAGAATCACTGAACCAGTTACTTCTGAAAGCTCACAGGTAAGAACCACTGACTGATTCCTCAACACACCATCAGGGGGCTCCACTGAGACTGAAATCAACAACAAAAAATACTTTTTAAATGCACTGAACACATTTACAAAACAATAATTCTTTAGGTGTCTGATAATCAAATGTAAATGAAAAATCAATGTATTTATTACGGATTGATTGATTGATTGATTGATTGATTCAATCATTCATTGACTGATTCATTCATTGACTTTTTGCAAACCTCTGATGGTGTGTAGTATTATTGTTGTGTAGATGCCAGTATCTGTAATACACCTATACGTCCCTCTGTAGTTGAAGTTCACAGGTGAGATGTGAAAGATTAAAGCTTGACTGTTGTATGTGGCTGAAGAGCATCTCCCTGGTTTAATTGGTCCTTTTAACTGAACTTGTCTTTCTTTTTCAAAGGCTATCAGGTCAATCTGTGAATTAGGCCTCGGCTCCCAGGTCCACTTCAAGCTGTCATATTTCCTGCTAGATTTGCAGATGAGTAATACATCACTATTACTGGAGCTTTGTCTATAAATGAGACGATTTTTATTTTTTCCATTGTGTGAATCTGGAAATGAAATAGGTAACCTGGTGAATTTCAGTGAATATATCTCAGTTAAAACATTTCATTTCTATGCATATTTGTGAAAGGCAAATAAAAAGAAAAAAAAAAACACACACACACACACACACACAAGAACAAACTTCTGCAGAATTCTTAATGGAAAAATGTATAGATCATTAAGATGTTGGCATACAACTCAGAATTAACTTTTAAAAATATATACTTACGTGAAGTGACATTAAGTGTGTGAATCCTAACAGTTTCTACTCTTCCATCTTCCATCAATTTACAGTAATATGTCTCTTCACTGCGTTCATCAACAGTGTGTAAGATGATGTAGGCAGAGTTGTTGTACATTAGTGTGGCGTTGGATATTTGTTCTCCATCTTTCTCCCAGTGCAATGTGGAGGATTCATTCAGGAGAGGGAAGTCACATCGCAAAGATACATCAGATCCACGCACGACTTTGAGAGATGGAGTATTAGAACTGTGAGAAACTGTATAGATTTTTCTTGTAGAACACTTTTTTTTTAAATATACTGTTGAATACTTTTAAAATATTTTTGCTGCACGGAAATTCAACCAACCTTCATTTTGGGTCTGAACTGTTTGAACTGGTGGATATGCTGTGAATAACAGTTACAACAATTACAATAACAAACTGTGCAGGACAAACCAAGCTGCTAGTGCATCAGCCGAGGACCCAGCATTACCAGCATTTTCTAAAACATTTGAACAAAGAGAGGCTGCACACTTACTAAATAAAACATTGTTTTGGATTTTCTATAGTGATTGTTAATCACTGACACAGATTACGTTCGTTACATTTGTTTTGAATAATACAGTTACGTCTTTAAACGGCACTTCATTTGAATTTGATAACAATAGAGACTGTGAAAACTACAGATTAGTGTATTATATCAATTGTTTTTATTACTTAAATTTTTTATACAAATAGCTTGAACATTATTAAATAATTCTACAATTTATCAATTTAGAGTAAAATCAACAAACACCAAAAGAGGGAAGAATTACACAATATCTTGACAGAATAATCTCCTTCTTGACAGACTCACCGATAGCGTGCAATTGGGAACAAAATCCACACATCAGAATAAAGATTTTAATAGGTGTAAGCGGCATGATTCTTCTTTGTAATGCCTCAGATAAAGTGATGCACTCTGAAGAGTTTAAAGAAAGAACTAGCCAGCAGCTTTTACTGGGCGGTGCAATATTCAGAAATCTGCCTGTCATAGAAAACAATCAGCTTGTGAATTTTAAACAAAATGTCCATGCAGAGAGATACTGTACTAGATAAAACTCATGGTTTTTTTTAGTGTTATCATGTTAAATTACATTTAGAAGTATAAACAAATAGCCTAAAAAAATGTTATTCACAGTAAAAAAAATAAAAAAAGTATTTTGAAAACTTCTGTTTGTACATCTATTGGTTAAATAGTTTGTCTTATTTCATTTAAATCAGGCATGTCTGGAAACAAATATTGTTTTTAGACTTGTCTGGTTTGCACATTTAGCTAATTTCCAGAGCAGGAAATGGTTTGCTAAACTCTGAGCTATCTTGAGGTTTCTCTCAGTCACCCAAATCTGTGATCTAAAGTGTGATCTAAACTCACAAACTTACTGACTTTGTTGAGGAGGTCTATTTTTGAAGCTCAGTCTCTTTGTAGGCACATGCACATCTAAATATTGAAATGTTCCCCTGTCATTGGCCATGAAAAATTATTAATTTAATTTAATGTATTGTTATTGTACATAATTATAATCATTATCATTTATTAGACAACAAATGTCAGTACTTTAATATTAGCATTGCTACTCTCTTGTTTTTATCTACAATTCTTTAATATATATTTTTTAATTATTATTATTATTTATTTATTTACTTTTAGATTAATTTAAGCCATTGTCTTCATAAGGCCATTTCAAACGTGCCTGACAACATTTAATATTTAAACATAACAGGCTTCAGTGCAAATAAGCAATGCAATAATTTTACATTTCTTTTGATGAATATCTCATGGTTTACCTTGCTTGTAATGTAAGTTTTTTCCCCCATACCAGGAAATACTGTGCTACATTTAAAACAGTTGTGTGTTATGAAACCACAGTGGGGTTTCTTTCTGGCATGTGAGCATATTGATTCAAGTCTGATTACTCGGAGATAGTGTTGCATGTATGTTTTCTACTGCAAATGAAACCCAAAGAATCATTGCATACAGATAGTGTGCAGATACACCCGTACAATCTCACTAGAGCATAAAACAAGAATTATCAGTCTTAATTCATTCTTAAAGGGGTCATATGACATTGCTAAAAAGAATATTATGTTGTGTATTTGGTGTAATGCAATGTGTTTATGCGTTTTAAGGTAAAAAAAACACATAATTTTCCACATACTGTACATTATTGTTTCTCCTCTATGCCCCGCCTTTCTGAAACGCGTCGATTTTTACAAAGCTCGTCGGTCTGGAAAGGGAGGGTCTGAAAAGCGAGGTGTGCTCTGATTGGCCAGCTATCCAGTGCGTTGTGATTGGCTGAATACCTCAAGCGTGTGACGGAAATGTTACGCCCCTTACCATACTGTGATGCCGTGTCCCGGCACGATGAGACAAAACCAATAAAACCCATTACAAACTTAGCATTTGTTACATCCAGTGGGAACATAATTACTGATTATAATGACTTATACTGTGTCTTTATGCGTTGCGTTGCGTATTGCGCCGTGTAAACATAAAACCATGTCTGCATTTGTGATCGGAGAAACGACAAACATCAAGTGCTACTCTACACTGCTCAAAACTCGCGTTTGAATCATCAGTGGCAAATCCTGTAAATATAAAAGATTTACTTACAGTCTGTGAGTCAGAAGCACCAGACTGTCCTTGCAAAGTTGGAACTGCCCCACTTTATAGAACAGCCTTTGAGCACAGACCCATTGTAGGCGACTCTGCAGGTTCATTAAACAGTCCTCCATAAAATGCGTCACACAGCACCACACATTGCGGGCTTGAGTGAGGAATGGCCGGCGGGCTAGAGTGAGCGGCGGCCGGTGGACTTGAGAATGGCGCGGCCGGCGGATTCAACGAAGGAGTGGCGGGCGGGCTTGCGGCAACCACATGTTGATATATGTTTTATATATATATAAAAATAAATACAAAGTTTTACATTTACATTTATTTATTTAGCAGACCTTTTATCCAAAGCAACTTACAAATGAGAAATACAACAAGTGATTCACCACATAAAGAGGCAATAAACTCAAATGCTAATACAAAGTTTAAAGGTGATGATACACAGGGCAACATTTTTAGCAATGTTGTTGGGCAATGTTGCTGTCAACAGGCAACCAGGTGAGACACAGGGCCCACGACTGATCGAAAGTATCCAGATAAAAAAATGTTTTTGCCCATTCACAATGGGAAAGCAAGCAACATCACCCAACAACATTGTTCAAAAAAGCTGCCCTGTGCATCATCACCTTCAGACATCATTTAAAATAGTACAAGCTAGAACAAGGAGGGATTAAGGAAAAGTGAAAGCATAGAGGAGGAATTGTATTTATTTATTATGTAATTATTTATTTATTTATTTTCTCAGCAGGATGCAGTTAAGTTCTCACAGAAGAGATGATTTTAAGCGGTTTCTTGAATCTGCTCTGCACCGGTTCTGTGCAAATACTGGCTCACTGTGCTGGACTAGCTGAGTAGATGACTGTAGTACTGCAGTCCAACACCTGTAAATATTGAAATGTACAAGCTTAAAGACTGTATATACTGTATAGAAATCACAACCATATATAACACATGTATCATTAGCACATCAAAATGACAAATTGAAATGTTTATGATAGAAGGTGTTTCACAGCTAACCTCTGAACTTACATACTTGGTTTTAAACCAGCTGTCAGCTCCTGGAAAAATAATCATAGTCATATATTGGTTTCACTTTATTTTGATGGTCCCTTTAACACATTCTGTTAACTATAAGTAACATTGCACCTACATGTCTATTAATTCTCATTAGAGTATTAGTAGACTGGTAGGGTTAGGGTTAGAATAATTTGACATGTACTTGCAGAATTACTTATAGTCAGTAGAATGTCTGTTTGGAGACCATGACAATGAAGAGTCAGCAGGTATTAAGCAGACAGTCTACTAATACTTTGAGAGTTAGTAGACATGTAGGTGCAACATTACTTATTGTCAACAGAATGTTCAAAAGGGGCCATCAAAATAAAGTGTTACCCATAAATATAACATAGATTTCTCACTGTAAAGAACACCAAGAGGTTAATCTGCCATATTAATGTGATAAGGCAATGTCCCTTAATGCAAGCCTGGTGATTTGGTATCCATTAAGTAACTATTTTTAAGTACAGCTCTTATCTACTTGAATGGAGACAGACCAAAACCTGATCAACACTTAGGCCGATCCAAGCATGTATGTACTAGAGTAGAAAAAAGGGAATGTCTCTGTGAAAAGGCAATTACTGTAGCTTTTTAAACTAAATGTGTGATGTTCATTCAGCTGCCATATTGAGCATCACAATTGGTCCTATTCTTTTTTCTATGGCCCATCTTCTCCTTCCTATACTGTCTCTGTGATGAGCTCACCTGTTTTTCGCTGATATTTAAAAACTAGAAGTCCCAGCAGAATCAGCACACTGACAGCACAAGCCACAATGATCACGATATGTAGATAACTGTCTTGTGTCATGGTGTCTTCTGCAGAAACATGTTGAGCCACATAACTAAACCAGTGTCATGATTACACAGTGACAAATTACTAGTGTAAACCAGGGGTGCCCAACCCTGTTCCTGGAGATCTACCTGCAGAGTCCAGGTCCAACCCTGATCAAACACACCTGTCTGTAATTATTAAGTGCTCCTTCAGATCCTAATTAGCTGATTCAGTTGTGTTTGATCAGGGTTGGAGATGAACTTTGCAGGAAGGTAGATCTCCAGGTACAGGATTGGACACCCCGGTGTAAACTATAGAACATTCAGATTGTATGTCTTGTGTGTATTAATCTTATTCAAGGTGAAAATACTGCATATTAATGGTTCAAAGATAATAACTTGGTTTGTTACAGTTGAAGTTTCTGTTGACATACTTGGAGCATTTGTAGTTGTTGAGGTAAGACTGATAGTTATTGGGGCCAGAGCTCTGAGTGTATTCTCAGTAAAAACTGCACACTGCCAGTTCATCGGGTCTGTTTCATAGCTGGATAGATTCACTGTGAGTTGTAACTTTTTGTTTTTCTCAGTCATAATTTGCTGTTTGACCAGAACTCCTCTGTTCCCCTCCATCCTGAGCCAGACCAGAATCACTGAACCAGTTACTTCAGAAAGCTCACAGGTAAGAACCACTGACTGATTCCTCAACACACCATCAGGGGGCTCCACTGAGACTGAAATCAACAACAAAAAATACTTTTTAAATGCACTGAACACATTTACAAAACAATAATTCTTTAGGTGTCTGATAATCAAATGTAAATGAAAAATCAATGTATTTATTACGGATTGATTGATTGATTGATTGATTCAATCATTCATTGACTGATTCATTCATTGACATTTTGCAAACCTCTGATGGTGTATAGTATTATTGTTGTGTAGATGCCAGTTTCTGTAATCCACCTATACGTCCCTCTGTAGTTGAAGTTCACAGGTGAGATGTGAAACATTAAAGCTTGACTGTTGTATGTGGCTGAACACACACACACACACAAGAACAAACTTCTGCAGAATTCTTAATGGAAACAATTATAGATCATTAAGATGTTGGCATACAACTCAGAATTAACTTTAAAAATATATATACTTGCGTAAAGTGACATTAAGTGTGTGAATCCTAACAGTTTCTACTCTTCCATCTTACATCAATTTACAGTAATATGTCTCTTCACTGCGTTCATCAACAGTGTGTAAGATGATGTAGGCAGAGTTGTTGTACATTAGTGTGGCGTTGGATATTTGTTCTCCGTCTTTCTCCCAGTGCAATGTGGAGGATTCATTCAGGAGAGGAAAGTCACATCGCAAAGATACATCAGATCCACGCACGACTTTGAGAGATGGAGTATTAGAACTGAGTGTGAGAAACTGTATAGATTTTTCTTGTAAAACACTTTTTTTTTCAAAAATACTGTTGAATACTTTAAAAATATTTTTCAGAATCAGAATCAGATCAGAATGAGCTTTATTGCCAGGCATGTTTACACATACGAGGAATTTGTTTTCGTGACAGAAGCTTCCACACTGGTATAGGAATGCACGTCTTCACAGAAACTGATATAAGATGTTACAGTCTCTGTGAGCTCGTCCAGATCGGTGGAAGCAGCTTTTGCTGCACAGAAATTCAACCAACCTTCATTTTGGGTCGGAACTGTTTGAACTGGTGGATATGCTGTGAATAACAGTTACAACAATTACAATAACAAACTGTGCAGGACAAACCAAGCTGCTAGTGCATCAGCCGAGGACCCAGCATTACCAGCATTTTCTAAAACATTTGAACAAAGAGAGGCTGCACACTTACTAAATAAAACATTGTTTTGGATTTTCTATAGTGATTGTTAATCACTGACACAGATTACGTTCGTTACATTTGTTTTGAATAATACAGTTACGTCTTTAAACCGACACTTCATTTGAATTTGATAACAATAGAGACTGTGAAAACTACAGATTAGTGTATTATATCAATTGTGTTTATTACTTAAATTTTTTATACGAATAGCTTGACCATTATTAAATAATTCTACAATTTATCAATTTAGAGTAAAATCAACAAACACCAAAAGAGGGAAGAATTACACAATATCTTGACAGAATAATCTCCTTCTTGACAGACTCACCGATAGCGTGCACAAAACAAAATCCACACATCAGAATAAAGATTTTAATAGGTGTAGGCGGCATGATTCTTCTTTGTAATGCCTCAGATAAAGTGATGCACTCTGAAGAGTTTAAAGAAAGAACTAGCCAGCAGCTTTTACTGGGCGGTGCAATATTCAGAAATCTGCCTGTCATAGAAAACAATCAGCTTATGAATTTTAAACAAAATGTCCATGCAGAGAGAAACTGTACTAGATAAAACTAATAATTTTTTTTTAGTGTTATCATGTTAAATTACATTTAGAAGTATAAACAAATAGCCTAAAAAATGTTATTCACAGTATCTGAGCTATCTTGAGGTTTCTCTCAGTCACCCAAATCTGTGATCTAAAGTGTGATCTAAACTCACAAACTTACTGACTTTATTGAGGAGGTCTATTTTTGAAGCTCAGTCTCTTTGTAGGCACATGCACATCTAAATATTGAAATGTTCCCCTGTCATTGCCCATGAAAAATTATTAATTTAATGTATTGTTATTGTACAGAATTATAATGATTATAATTTATTAGACAAGAAATGTCAGTACTTTAATATTAGCATTGCTACTCTCTTGTTTTTATCTACAATTATTTTAAAAAATATATTATTATTTATTTATTTATTTATTTTTAGATTAATTTAAGCCATTGTCTTCTTAAGGCCATTTCAAACGTGCCTGACAACATTAAATATTTAAACATAGTAACATAACTTTTTAAAGGCTTTAGTGCAAATAAGCAATGCAATAACTTTACATTTCTTTTGATGAATATCTCATGGTTTAACTTGCTTGTAATGTAAGTTTTTTCCCCCATACCAGGAAATACTGTGCTACATTTAAAACAGTTGTGTGTTATGAAACCACAGTGGGGTTTCTTTCTGGCATGTGAGCGTATTGATTCAAGTCTGATTACTCGGAGATAGTGTTGCATGTATGTTTTCTACTGCAAATGAAACCCAAAGAATCATTGCATACAGATAGTGTGCAGATACACCCGTACAATCTCACTAGAGCATAAAACAAGAATTATCAGTCTTAATTCATTCTTAATATACCAAAATAATGAATGAGTAGCTTGCTACTATTAATAACATATTCATTTGATTATTTAAATTCCATCCAGTAATATATAAAAAAGAAATACAAAGTTTTACATTTATTTGTTTAGCAGACCTTTTATCCAAAGCAACTTACAAATGAGAAATACAACAAGTGATTCACCACATAAAGAGGCAATAAACTCAAATGCTAATACAAAGTTTAAAGGTGATGATACACAGGGTAACATTTTTAGCAATGTTGTTGGGCAATGTTGCTGTCAACAGGCAACCAGGTGAGACGCAGGGCCCACGTCATAAGAAAAAAATTAAGTATTTTGAAATCTTCTCTTTGTACATGTTTTGGTTGAAACAGCTCTGATAACCCCATTTTAGGTCATCTTAATAAAGCATGCTGAAAACAAATATTATTTTTAGACTGGTCTGGTTTGCACATTTAGCTAATTTCCGGAGCAGGAAATGCTAAACTGAGCTATCTTGAGGTTTCTCTCAGGCACACAAGTCTGTGATCTAGAGTGTGATCTAAACTCACAACCTCAACAGCTTCATTGAGGAAGTCTATTTTTGAAACTACAAAAAAAAATAATAATAATAATTTTAGTATGAGCTACAGCACTACTGTCTTGCTTGCTCTGAGTTTTATAAAGCATTAGTCTTTGTAAAGCGATGCTATTAAAAATCTGTAAAGGGCACAATATACTATTTATTCATATTAATTTTCCGTATTTGTCTTTTACAGGTGTTTTAGGGTTAATGGAAATGTCCATGAAATTACTGGATAATGTCCTGACAGAAAATTACAAGTAGGCTACTTTTTTTTACAGTGTACTTTGGAACTACATGTATAGTGAAAAGTGCTATAAATAATGCAAATACACCACCATTTTTGTTTAAGTTTTTGGAAGAAGTCATTTGATCAAAAATACAGTAAAACAGTCAGTATTATGAAATATTATTCAATACAGAAAATAAAATGAATCTTTTCTGTTTGAATATATTTTGAAATGTAATTCATTCCTGTGATGCCAAACTTGAATTTTCAGCATCCATTTCTCCAGTTTTCAATGTCACGTGATTAATTAATATTTTTTCAAGATGCTTTGTTGAATAAAAAGTGTAGCAGGACTACATGTATTTCAAATATAAATCTTCTGCAAGATTATTTCTTTACTGTGATTTTTGATCAATTTATATGTGTAGTTGCTAGATAAAAGTATTAATTACTTTTAAAAAGTGGTAGTGTAAATTTAATTGAACTGACTTGTTGTGACAACCATTTCTTGAAATTAAACAGCCTTCTTTAGGCTTTTCAGGAAAACATAAGAAGTAAAAATATATATAATGTAAAAGATAACATAAAAACATTTTTATTTATTTATTTATTATTTATTTCCAGTGGAAGTATTATTTAATAAATTGCATGAAAGTAGAATAGAATTGAACCAGAACAAAATGTAATGCAGAAGAAGAAGAAGAAGCAATGTCAATTTTGAACTAGGTTTTTGAAATTAATGTAATGTTTGTGTTCTTTGTGCTGGTCTGAGGTGATTGTAATTAGACAGGAGGTATAAGAAACATTTATTGTTATTATTATTATTATTATTATTATTACATTTCTTTAAGCCTAAGTTTGCAATAGAACTTACTTTCTATAGGTTCCAGTGTACATAGGCTATTCTGTAATTTTCACATTTCTTTTTAAGAATATTTCTTTTTTCTTTCTTTCTTTTTTTTATTTTAAGTTCTGACTTTTGGTTAGTTGAAACATTTGTTCCAAAACTTAATCATCTTAGCTTCTTCCATTCCAGGAAATACCGTTCTACATTTAACACAGTTGTGTGTCATGAAACCACATTGATACATCTTTCTGGCATGTGAGCATATTGATCTGAATATACTCGTGTTGGTGTAGCATTTGTGTTTTCAATGCAAGTGAAACCCAAAGACCCCTTGCTTACAGACGGAGCACACATTGTGCTTTAGTATACCAAAATAATGAATGAGCATGCTTTTATTAATACAAAATTCACTCAGTTTTTTTCAACTGCTTACACACATTTTCAAAACTTTACACACAAATCCAAGAATTGTCCTCACAAAATGCAAAATGCCTCACATCTCTTGCAAAATGAAGCACTGCATTCAACATATCACAAACACATCTCAAAAGCAAACATTTGCAAACACCTTTGCCACAATTTTTGTGTGTTACATAGAGAATTGTGTGTTGTATACTCAGTCAAAGGCTGAGAATTAGTGTATGGTTTTGCAGACTTGGTGTGTGGTTCTGGTGTTTGAGTGTCAGGTTTCAAAAATTGTGTTAGAAGTAAAGATTTTGTATGTAAGCAGTTGAAAAAAAAACAGTAAACCAATGTCATGATTACACAGTGACAAATGTATTAGCTATAGAACTTTTAGATGTACAGTGCCTTGCAAAAGTATTCATACCCCTTCACTTTTTTTTCATGTTTTATGTTGTAGCCTTATGTTAAACTGCTTTAAATTACTATTTTCCCCCACATCAATTTACACTCCATACACCATAATGACAAAGCACAAAACAGGTTTGTAACAACTTTGCTAATTTATTAGAAATAAAAAACTGAAATGATTCCATTGCATAAGTATTTTCTGTGACACTTGAAATTTAGCTCCGGAGCACTCATATCGCTTGTAGATGTTACTACACATTAATTTGAATAAGTATGATTTGGAAAGGCACATACCTCTCAATAAAAGATCTAACAGCTGAAAATGCATATCAGAGCAAAAACCAAGCCCTGAGGTCAAAATAACTGCCTGTAGAGCTCAGAGACAGGATTGCATCAAACCACACATCTGGGGAAGAGTTCAGAAATAAATTCTGCTGCATTGAAGGTTCACAGAAGCATGTAGCCTCCATTATCCATAATGGAAGACGCTTGGAAAAACTAGGACTCTTCCTAGAGCTGGCCTTCTGGCCAAACTGAGCAATTGATGGAGAAGGGGCTTGGTTATACTGGTTGTTATACCAACAATCTGATGGTCACTCTAGTTGAGCTCAATAAAAGGTCTAACAGCTGAAAATGCATATTAGAGCAAAGACCAAGCCCTGAGGTAAAAAAAAAACTGTTTGTAGAGCTCAGAGACAGGATTGCATCAAACCACACATCTGGAGAAGAGTTCAGAAATAAATTCTGCTGCATTGAAGGTTCACAGAAGCATGTAGCCTCCATTATCCATAATGGAAGACGCTTGGAAAAACTAGGACTCTTCCTAGAGCTGGCCTTCTGGCCAAACTGAGCAATTGATGGAGAAGGGGCTTGGTTATACTGGTTGTTATACCAACAATCTGATGGTCACTCTAGTTGAGCTCCATGATCATATGTGGAGATAGGAAAAACCTACAGAAGGACAAACATCACTGCAACACTCCACCGATCTGGGCTTTATGGCGGTGTGGCCAAACTCAATCTTCTCCTCAGTGAAGACACATGAAAATACACTTGGAATTTGAAAAAAAGCACCTAAAGGACCCTCAGACTCTGAGAAACAAGATTCTCTGGTATGATGAACCTCAATTC